TATTTGTCCCAGCCTCCGGAGATGGCTCTCTGTAGGACCTGCTGTCCAGCCTCCCTGTGGCTGCCTGGGCAGGGCAGTGTGGTCTCCAGTGCAAGAGTTCTGCTGTGTGTGTTTTAGGGGGGATCCCTCCACCCTTAGCCCCTGTCAGCAGCTGCAGTCTCTCCTGGCTCCTTGGCCCCAGCATCCTGGACGCTCTGTCCTCTTCTACCCCTGCCACCAGCCACCACCGAGGCCGATAAGCTCTCCTCTGCCTGCTCTTTAACTTTTGCTCTCACAATGCAGAGCTTAAAAGATTACATCTTTATTTATGGATTTAATAACGCCACAGAAGAATTATAAATGTGGAGGCCAATGTATTACTTTAAAGGGCAGACCTCTCAGCACTGTCTCTCCAGAACATGGGTTCTGACAATATCTAGAGTTGGACACCTCTCCAGAGCCCTCCGGCATGACCCCTGGGGGTCTGCCCCACCGCCCAAGCTCCACCTTCTCTGAGAATGGACACCCACACTCCCTGGCCTTGGCTGTGTGGCCCAAGGGGAACAAATCGCATTCTCTTTCCGGGGGATTTAGAATTGCAGATCAGAGATGTGAGATGTGAGAAAGTATTTGGAAGCATCTTTTGCCCTGCTTCAGAGAGGCAGCGAGAGCCAGCCTGCAGAGGGGAAAGGTTGAAGTGGGTGGACAGAGGCTAAGGCCCTGCAAGAGGGCCGCCGAGCGCGTGTCCTCTCCCTACCCACCCCCTGTGCTCACCCTGCTCAGGCTAGCCTGGCTTCTCCAAAATGCCCGACTCCTTAAAACAGATACTCCCCTTCCTGTTTGCTTTTCTTTTCTTTCTTTTCCTTTTTCTTTTTTTCTCAAGTTAGTATGAGGTATGAGTGGGTTTCTATTTCTTATGACCTAAAGACGGACAACTCATCCTCAACTTACCTCCCCACCAAAAACATTCACCCTGTGCCCTGGCCCGCTGGGCAGGGGGCCTTGACCCTCCAGGAGGTTCCTCCCTGTACATGACCCAGAGGACACACCAGGGTAATGAAAGAGCCTGTGTAAGCCTGTCATACCTCCTCCCTGTCACCTTGCGGATGGTCGTGCGGTTGCCCTTTCCTGCTGTGTTCATTCGTGGTGTGTGGTTTCTTTCTCCAGCTGAGCTTATGGCACAGTGTTCTCTGCGGCAACCCTCCTTATTAGAAAGCGCATGGACTTTAGAGTCTGGCAAGCTTGGAGTCTGAGTGCCTGCGATCTGAGTCTGGTCTGCCGCTTCCTGCTCTGGTACCTTGAGCAAGTTACTCACTACCTTATCTATAAACCAAAAGTACCTGCCCAATAGGATTGTTGCTTCGAGGATTAGAGCCAATATATGGAAACTGTTGAGCAGTGTGGACAATCAGTATGGGGCACTGAAACCCCACTTGGGGTTTCCACTCACACCCAGCAGAGTCAGGTGCCTTTCCTATGGGCCCCAATTTATCCTGGGCACATCGCAGCTGTGGCCTGCATCACCATGTACTGTATCTTGCTCATCTTTGTGTCCCTAGGGCCTGACCCAGAGCCCAGCTCATAGATGGGGCTCTTTAAATACTTGTCTTCAGGTTCCCCCATCAGACTGTGAACCCTTAGAACTCTGGGCTTATTTGTCTCCTAACTCAGGACCTAACTCTAGAAGGGGCACATCGCCAGCACGTGGTAAATGTTCTTGGCGGTATCCTTCAATTCAGCTGGACAAAGACAAGCTACAGAAAAGTGCTGAAAGCAGTCTCCTTCAACTGCAGAACATGCTGGCCTTCCCACGATGACAATTTCTAGCTCCAGCATCTAAAGGCGAAGTCTCACACTAGGCCGGTGCATCTAAGCCCTGTGACCACAGGGGAGGAAGGCAGTAAAAGTACAGAAGGTAGTGGAAGCTTCTTGTTCAGCAGCTGGGTCTGGGTCCTGGCGAGGGTTCTGGAGTAGGGAAGGCTGCTCCCACCCTAGCCCTGTGCCCCGCTGCTTGCTGCTTACTTGACCTCCGTGAGCCTCCGTTTCTTCACTCATAGAATGTGGGTAGTCGTACCCATTTCACAGATTACTGTGAGGACCGAATGGAGCAATTCATGTAAAGCAGTGAGTGCAGTGCCTGGCACATAGGTGCTCAATAAATGTCATTCCCTTTATTGTTAGTAATGTCATCATGATTGTAGAAATCTTTTTCAGAGAGCAAAGTGCTCGTGCATTTAATCTCCTTTAATCTTTACAACAATTCCATGAGACAAGCAGGTTTCCAGGAGCCTGAGGGGGTACAGAGATTGAGACAGTTGGTCCAAGGCCATGTGGC